CATCTAAAGATTGGTCAGAAATACCGACTCACAAGAATGAGAATACACGTCTCATTGAGAATTATCGTCCTGTAACTGTATTGGCTGAATTGTTGAAGATTTTTGAGAGAATCATACATATTTTTTTTTATATATCCTATTCACAATCCGTAGTCCAAAGGTAAAGGTAAATTTATCACCTTTCCCTATCAAATAGCACTGAAAGGTGATAAATTTTACCGTTACCTTTGGACATCGGATTGTGAATAGATAATAGGTACCTACTAAAATCAGTGAACATGTACAGGGAATAGTCAACTGTCACTAATCTGAGTATTTTTTCTGAATATGTAAGCAGTAACCTGGAGATTGGTTCTCAGATAGATGTTGTGTATACTGATCTAGCGAAAACATTTGACAAGGTTTACCACGCTGTGCTTGTCAGAAAGTTTGAATTTTTTGGTTAATTCAAACCTTATTTTATACTTAAAATTAGACTTGTCGGACAGATGTCAGTATGTGAAGTTTAAAAATAATGCCATATCAAATAGATTTGTTGCTATATTTGAAATCACGATAGAAAGTGAAGTTGACAGTCCGGGTTGACATTTCTAGTAACTTTTTCTTCAGGTTGCCAGCATGCATTAGGGCTTCGATTCCGTCAGCTGGGATAAACAACAGGGTCGTATTTAGAAAAGTGATATACATTTCAGAATAAAAATTTATTTTCAATTCCTTTAAAGGAAGTTAAGTTATTAAAATACTGCATAGTAATAATAAACATCTGTAATAGAACAAATATAATACTTTTTATGTACGAACCTACACTGTAAGAGCTTATTACGTAACTCATTTTAGCCTGTTTGAGTTACGTAATAAGTTGCATTATCGTTCTTAGTGATGTAATGAGCTCATTACATCACTCAGTGATGTAATGAACTCTCATTACATCACTCAGTGATGTAATGAGAGCTCATTACGTAACTCATTTTTATTGTAAAACGAAAAAATTAAAACCATTTCGAATATATGAAAAAATCTGGGTTGTACATAAAATGTTGTATATCACACGTACGGTAACGCTCATTACACCACTCGTGTGATTACCACGACTCGGTCTACGACCTCGTCTTGACAATATTCCCCACTCGTTACTGTAATGAAGCTCATACCGTACTAGTAATATAAATAACTATTAATAGTTTTTAGGACTTTTATGTCATCGCTAATACCAAAATTAGCACTTAAAATCGAAATATTGTATAAGTATTAGGTTTATCTTACCTGGAGACATTGAAATAAACCAGATTAAAGTCTTAAAAGAGTCCAAAGTAAACAATTATAAAAAGAGTAACCACTTAAATCCAAACTAAAACCAGGTTTGACACACAAAGGCACAGAACACTACATAAAAAACCAAGAAACCGATTGCGAATATAACAAAATATCAAAAAATAATGCAGAAAACGGCCAAAAACTGAAACGATTTCACACAAAAATTCAAAATTCAAAATTCAAAGATCCGGATCTGACATTTTTATGTGTCAAATCGAAATGTCATGTATCACTATTTGATAGTTGACAGGAAAAGGGACAGTTCTGGGATTTTATTTACTTTCAACTGGTGAAAATAACGGTCAAAATTCAAACTCTATCATGAATTTGACTATACCTCTATAGTATCCCACAGGTCTCTATTTTGGGTCCACTTCTGTTTGTCCTTCTTATCAATGATATATATCTAGATGTGTTCAATACTCACAATTTTTACTCCATGCAGATGATATAAAAATGTATAGTACAGTTCAAAATGAAACAGACTGTCAACTCTTACAAAGAGATCTAAATGCTATTGTATACACGTGATCATACTATGTCAACAATAACCTAAAATTAAATATCAGTAAATGTGAATGTTTAAGGCCGCGTTAATGGCCGCCATGTTTAAATTTAGTTTTTGAAAATGACGACTGCGTCACTCTACACATAGGGTTCAATATTTTATTATTTGTCCAAAACAAAATCTGTCTGTCGGTGAAACACTTAGTGACAGAGAAAGACAAATATACAATTATGATGCTCCCAATGTAGCTTTTTTGCCGTGGCGCCATCTACTTGAAATTGCTTGAACTGTTTTCACCTTCAAAATTCGTTTTAAGGTCATCTCAAAAAATCCGCAACAATTTCCAAAATCCTTTGGCATAAACATTATTTGATATTATTATCTACAATCTCTACAATTAGCTTTTTTTAGTTTTTCGTGGTTATCAATAAAATATGCTTTTCACGGATCCAAGCTTGATAAACATGCAAATATGCAACCACCAACACATTTAATTGTTTTGGTGGTTGCGAACATGATTTTTGAATTAAAAAAAAGGCTGAATATCGAAAAACCAAAATAAGGAATTGTAGATAATCGATCAAATAATGTTTATGCCAAATTTGAGCCAATTCTGATGTGCCGTTTTTTTAAAGACCTTAAAACAAGTTTCTAGAAATCAACCAATCGCAGTTTAAACATGGCGGCCATTAACGCGGCCTTAAGCATTTTTCGAACCAAGAATCCTATGCTAACACAATACAAAATAAATGATACGGCGTTGGACAGAGTTCCAGGGGATATCTGATCTAGGAATACTGTCCACGCACGTCATTGATACTTTGTATGCAGATAAGGAAGCTAGGTTTTGTACTGCGCTCCTGTGCAGACTGCAAAAACTCAAAGAATTACACACTACTTTTTAATGCATATGTAAGATCAAAACTGGAATATGCCAATATAATATGGAACCCTACAACAATGTTTATATTTTTTAAGAAACATAAAGTCTGTTTTTTTTTTTAAGATAATTCCCCAAGTCAAAAATTTAGTAACTATGTTGGCAACACAAGCCTTTTCTACATAAAAAATTTGAAAGTCTTGACAATTTTACATTGCATTGCCAACATAATGTCATTTTGACTTTTATCTTTAAAAAAAAAACTTTAGATCAATGAACTATAACCAAAAACTGGAATGCTAACACATAAGGACGAACTTGAAGCCTAGTGCGGCTGCTGCGGAGGGGATACCTGTTTTTGTCGCACTCATTATTTTAAATGGCGAAAATTGCTTCCAACACGTATTCCAATTGATGAAACCTGTGAAGGGAAATATGACAAAACTTTCGAAAACGGCATATGTCAGCGAGCAACAGAAAAAAACAACATTCCCCCTTGTGGCATCTGTCTTTCATGGCTTCATTTTTTTGGCAGATATGGCAATGTGTGCGCATTCCAGTTTTTAGCTATAGTTCATTGCTTTAGATAGATTGTTATTCTCATCTCATCTCGTATATACAGGGTGGGGCACGAAAAACTTTCCACCCAGGTTTTCTCAGGTGTTAGATGATTAATTGAAAATCGTTCGAACACGTCAATTTTAGTTTTTTTGGGGACACATTTTATTGGTATTTTTACCCCGTACCTGTCAACCCCTAAGTGGGGGTGACAGGTACCCTTAAAATTTCAAATGGAAAGGAGGGTCGAGTGAAACGTCATTTGATAGCTATTTTCATTAAGATTATATCCCCGAAGTTTTAAGTTGCTACTATTTACCCTGCCGATGGTGGCATGTCAAAATTAGGATAAATGCTTTTTCTCGATAATCTATACTGTATAGTTTTTACCTGTCATACCTATGCGTAGGTAACAGGTAAAAACCATACAGCATTTTTCCTTACTTTGACAAGCCGCCATTTCGACGGGGTAAATAGTAGCACCTTGAAACTTCTGGGATATAATCTTAATGAAAATAGCTATCAAATGACGTATCACTCGACCTCCCTTTCGATTTGAAATTTTGGGGGTACCTGTCACCCCCACTTAGGGGTTGACATGTAGGGGGTGAAAATACCAATAAAATGTGTCCCCCAAAAAACAAAAATTGACGTGTTCGAGCGATTTTCAATTAATCATCTAACAGTTGAAAAAACCTGGGTGGAAAGTTTTTCGTGCCCCACCCTGTATAAATCCCAACTTGATGAATTTGGTATTATGAAACTTATGAGGCGTAGTAGAGAGTTTAATGATGTGTTGTTGGTATTTAATATAAAGCCAAAGCGTAAAAAGTGCTACTGTACAGGGTGTTTTTTTATATATTGACACCCCACCTACAGCCTTAACCTTTACAAGTAGATGAAAGGTGTAAATACAAAAGTTGTACAGTATTGGCTAAATTTTTAGAATCCTTGGCAAGAAACAAAAATTGAATGTCAGAAATGTGAAATATGGCATGCTTTCAGCTTTTTTCAAATGAAATGCCCTATATTTGGTTCTATATTCTTGAAGAGCACATTTTCCCGATTCCAAAACTTTAGTTTGTCTATATTTGGTTGAGCCATCTCCAACATATTTGGTTCTAAAAATTTTTAAAATATACTCTCAGAGAAACCAAGAACCTCAAATTTTACCTGTACAGGTAGAATGGTTCACAAAATCAGTAGTAGGATAGTAATTTCACAATTTTTGGGGATTATTGTGGACCTCTGCAGGACGAGCGCAGCGAGTTCCGCAGCCATCTACTGACCAATATACTGTTGAACTGTTCAAATAAGAAACTCACCTGACACAGTTTTTGAACTAATGAGAAAAATTCACAACTGAATGAATCAGGTTAGTATTGTACTTGAACAACACATTGGTGAATAGATGGTTGGGACCACCCATAAGTTCCGCAACAATCCACTCGTTTGTACTTGCATAACTTGTCACAATATAATACTAGTTTGGTAAAGTAACATTATACTAATTCCTGTTAAAAGGCAAATTGACAAAAAATGGATAATCTTACAAATTCTGACTTTATAAGTTATTTTTTAAGTACACACAAGTGGATTTTTGCGGAACTTATAGGTGGACCACTGCGGGACGCATAGAGGTAAGTAACACCCATTTGGCTCACGTTCGCTAATTTGAATGTATCACCCGATATCGCAACGGAGAGTTTCTTTATCGGATGTTACTTACCCTGGACAGATTTGCATTCACATAATGTTTAAAATTAATGCCTTTATTGGATAGTACAGATATAATATAATATATAATAATATTTTTTATGTTTCAAACTTTCTGTATTTTATTAATTCGCTTGTTAATTCGTCTAGAATTAAATAAATAAAAATAGAACTAAAAATACTTCAATTATTTATTTACTTATTTTATGAGTTAAAAAACTCACAAATCTGTGTTTTTATACACCATATAGAAATTGAGAGTCCTCTGAATAATATATTTCGGCAAGTTGACATCATTGCTTGTTACACTGCTGGCTGCTGTGGCGTCGGTGTCCGAATTTTGTTCAAAAACGAAAATTTCTGGAAGAAGTGCATTTGCATAGTATATTTTCTATATTAGTTAAAAAATGAATAGTTTTTCTATGCCAGAGGATTATCCATACCATACCTATATAAGAATTAATGATAATTTAATAATACGCTGTAAAATTAAAACAAAAGGAGAAGTGGATGTAAGTATTATCTTTTTGTTTTAAGGTATATTATTTTGTAAATTCATAGACGCAACTAATATAAGCTCTGTTCCAACACGACATGAGAACCGTTCTAGAACGGTAATTTCCAGTTACCCACCTATTTTTCAATAAGTTGAACGTTTTTCGTAATTGACAAATGAATTGATCGACTGGAAATTACCGTTCTAGAATGGTTCTCATGTCGGTTGGAATAGACCTATTGGCTCCAAATTTGAGGAGCACCATTTTTTTTTTGGTGGGGTTTGATGGAAAGGAAATGACGCGCGTAAAAAATAGTTATTTCTAGGTTAAACAACTCAAGAATGTCACACAGCACAAATAAAAAACAAACCAACCAAAGAAACAACAGACAGTCAATATTTCTTTTTTTCAAAATGTCACTTTGTCACCGTTAGTGCCAAATTATGGACCAGCTGGTAAGTGTCTAGTTGTTACCTAGCAGGTACTTTCTATTATCTAGTGCATAGAAAGTACCTGCTAGGTAACAACCAGACGTTTACCAGTCAGTCCATAATTTGGCCCTTAAAAGATACCATCACGTCATTGTATGATCATACCTAGTAAGTTGTGGTTAGTTCGCGAAAAATCCCTAAGTTTTTTATGTCTGAAATTTCAACAAAAAGAGGTGCTTTCCAGTGACCCATTTGAGTTACTCCTGAGCAGCTCAGGAGTGCTCCACAATTGCTTTGCGCGTTCCAGTGCTTAGAGTGTTGTATACTTGAACTACTCATTTCTATTATCCTCTGCCCCCTCGTGCACCAACCTTTATTTCGGTGTTCCATGCTCCTGAAGTCCGAAATGGTGGGGGTTAAGACGAGAGCGTTCCAGTGCTCTTATGTCGAACAGTTCAAGAGCGTCACACTCCAGGAGCATGATACTCTTTAACAATTTAGGCACTGGAAAGCAACTCATATAGTTCGTTGTACGAAGGTTTGTACTTACGTCAAAGATGACGTCATAACTTGGAAAAAAGGGTTTGTCGTAGATTAATTCATAGAGCACGTTCAGAATTATTGTTTTGTAATAAAATATTTAACTAAAGCCCGTATGACATCAGTGTATTTTTCTGTGAATTTATTCATGTAGTTCAGGGTGACAACCGAAAAACTTCAAACGCAACATAAATCAGCATTATGAAAAACAAAATAATGTTGGCACCCTGAACTACATGAAGAAATACACGGATAAATACACAGATGTAATACGGGCTTTAGAATAGAGTTTGTTGCGTTAAAATGACCTAGTAAGTTTCGAGCATCGAAGGACCATAAAATTATTCATAATTGATTGCACAAGGAGTCTTCAAAACGTGTATATTTTCAGGTAAAAGAAGGTCGCAAGGCGGTGGTAAAAGAGATACGAAAAGGCGCCTTGCGCTTCATTCGATCGGACAATGCGTCGAAAGAAATATTGTATTTGGAGCAAGAAAGTTTACAAAATAAGAAGAATTTGTTTTTTTAAAAATATTTTATGTTCTTTATTTGTTTAAGGTCTTCATTCGTATAGTAGCGTATAGTATGTATTTGTATTTACGTCTCAAAAACTGTTTTTTTTTTCGAAAAATATCCACTCTTTTATTGCTTTTATCTGCTAAATTACGAACGCACAGTATAATTTATATTAATAAAACAATATTAATTATATTTTCCACTTATATAGGTACTCATGTTTTGATATTTCAATGCCTTGAAATAATTATTTACAAGATGGTAATAGGCTTAATAACGGGGGTAAGTAACACCCGATAAAGCGCACGTCCATGCAACCACGGGTGTTACATTTCAAAAACCGAACCCTTGTCGAACGGATTACCGAATGCTAAACAGGATGTTACTTACCTCCATGCCTGCGGGACGAGCGCAGCGAGTTCCGCAGCCATCTACTCACCAATATACTGCTGAACTGTTCAAGTAAGTTATCACCTGAAACGTGTAGTTTTTAAACTAATGAGAATAACTCACATTTGAGTGACTCAGGTTAGTATCGTAATTAAACAACATATTGATGAATAGATGGCTGCGGAACTCGCTACGCTCGTCCCGCAGAGGTCCACCTATAAGTTCCGCAACAATTCACTCATTTGTACTTGAATAACTTGTCACATTATGTTACTAGTTTGGTAAAGTAACATCACTAATTCCTGTTGAAAGGCAAATTGACAAAAAGTAAATAGGTATTAATAATCTTACAAATTTTGACTTTATATAATAAGTTATTGTTCAAGTACAAATAAGTGGATTATTGCGGAACTTATGTGGGACGAGCGCAATGAGTTACGTAGCCATCTAGACACCAATATACTGTTGAACTATTTAAATAAGATACTCACTTGAAACCTATAGTTTTTGAACTAATGAGAATAACTGACATTTGAGTGAGTCAAGTTAGTATTGTACTTGAACAAAGTATTAATGAATAGTAGTTGAATGTCAGAAATGTGAAATGCTGCATGCTTTTAGCTTTTTTCAAGGGATACCCTACAAACTATGTAGTTTGTCTATATTTGGTTGAGCCGTCTCTAACATATTTGGTTCTAAAAATTTTAAAAATACTATCAGAGAAACCAAGTACCTCAAATTTTACCTGCAGCTTTCACCTGTATAGGCAGAATGGTTCACAAAATCCTTAGTTGGATACCTAGTACAATTTTTGGAGCCGAATATATGAGAGATTCCCAATCAAATATAGATCGGGGCACTATGTTCTTCAAGAATATAGAATGAAAAATAGGGCATCCCATTTGAAAAAAGCTGGAAGCATTCAAAATTTCACATTTCTAACATTCAAATTTTGTTTCTGACTATGGTTTCTAAAAATTCAGCCAAAACAGTATATAGGATTTTCACGCTATATTTAGGATGACGTCACATTTAGTAAATTTCTGCTGCAAATCTAACAAAACTAAAAGTACTTCTTAACGCATATAAAGTAGGGGAATTTCAGATGTTTCTGGTTGGCAACGGCGCGCGATGTTGCATGATTTAAATGAACATTTTCAAATAAATAACCCGTGTCGATTCATTTTGTTATATTTAGCTGTCAGTGGTCTTGATAATTCATTATGACATTCTGGTAAATTATAAGAAAACAAATAGGCATTCACAACATTGTCAGTCCTTGTTCTCTGACGTCATCCTAAATATAACGTAGAAAACCTATACAACTTTTGTATTTACACCTTTCTTCTATCTGTAAAAGTAAAGGCTGTAGATGGGGTGTCAATATACAAGGTTGTCGTTATGTATGGAAACGGCTTAATATTTAAGAACGCACTTGAGAAAAATGTACAATATTTCCTACCTGGGGTTTTTTGGGAATGCCCGATTCAATGGTGTTATTCGCAATGTTGCCAAGTTTATTGTTTCTAAGATGCCGTATGTAACTTAATTTTTTTTAATGAGAGTCCCTCTTTATTTTTATTGTGATTTGTGATTAATTCAGCGTCCCAACATTTCTAAAACCCCTGAATGCCAAACCTCCATTTGACTTCGTTTTTGTAATATGACAACACAGTTTTTTGTTGAAACGTATGGAAACGGTCTTATTTTTCAGAACAGGCTTTGGAAAAATGTAGAATATTTCCTACTTGTGCTTACCAGCCCCCTATAAATCTTGAATACGCATTATTCTCGGCATTTGTCACATTTTCCTGAAGCCTGTTCTGAAATACTGAATTGTTTCCATACATTTCAACAAAAAACTGTGTTGTCATATTTCAAAAACCAAGTCAAATGGAGGTTTGACAGTAAGGGGTTTTAGTAATGTTGGGACGCTGAATCAAATACAATAAAAATAAAGAAGGACTCGCCTTTGAAAAAAATAAGTTACATACGGCATCTTAAAAACGGTAAACTTGGCAACATTGTAAATACCACCATTGAATCGGGTATTCCGAATAACCCCCAGGTAGGAAATATTGTACATTTTTCTTAAGTGCGTTCTGAAATATTAAGCCGTTTCCATACATAACGACAACCCTGTATAAAAAAACACCCTCTGTACCTGCATGATGACTTATTTCATAAGATATGTTTTAATGTATTAGATATTATAAGACGAAGAGATAATATTTTCAAGATCTTTAACCCTAACTCTGTTTCTCTTTTGAATAGATGTTTGCATGGTTTCAATGTGTTTGTTACGGAAAACCCTGATTTTGATACTTTTATTGATGGGAGGGGAAAACTGTTTTTAAGTAGGTGTTCACTGTGGAGGATTCAACAATGTTAATCTGTTTTTATGTGCAATATTAATAAATTCTTTATTATTAAAACTGTAAATAACGATTTGAGAGTGATATCAGATGTTTTGGAAGTTGCTTCAAATTCTTGTTAAGTCATTCTGAACACCTTTGAATCAATTTTTGAATAATTTTAAATACGTGTGGGACTTTACATACCTACGTTGAAAACTGCTTTAGAAACTTGAAAAGTCACTTTGAAGTAGGTAATATTTTCTGGAAGATATTGCAAAATATTCCAGGTATTCTTTCGATCTAAATAAACTGATTGTGATGACCTTAGGTTTGTTTTAAGGTTTCAAAAAACAGTTAGGGCCAATGAAATCGTTATAAAACTATATGACAATTGTTTAAAACTAATCTCAAGTAATTTCGATCAGTTTGTTCAGATCGAAAGAATACCTGAATTATAAAGGCCACTCCAAGCTCATGTTTAAACATTTCGAAAGTAACCCTTCAGAAGCTTTCAAAACTACTTCAGTAGTTTTCCAGAATAATGTCAAAATGTAGAAATTTATCTACATTTTTGTTTAATTTAGATTCTGCAATCTGCAAGTTAATTTTCATGAATTTCCCATGTCAATGGAAACACTTGAAATTTTAGTATAATGAGCTCCTAATTATTTTTTTGTTTATTCTGAAATTTTCATAATTTTCCCTTCAGTAGTACCTACTTATTGCAGAAAAAATATTAAGATAAAAGACACTGCATTTTTGATTAATTTAGATTTTGCAAGTTTATTTGCATAAATTTCCCACTGGAAAAAATTGTTTTAGTCAAACAAAGTTATAATTATCTAATACAATTTATATTATTTCTGTTTAATATTTAATTTACACAAACATACAATTTTTTAACTTATAAAACTAAGTTTTTCTATATAAATCATCTATACAATACATTTATATAATATACTCAATATGAATAAGGAAAAAATGAACTATATTTACAATAAAATTTTCGATAATGCATGAGATTGAGTTTGAATATAATATTATTGCAACAAAAATAAATCACATTATAGTCTAAATCTATCAATAATCTTTGGTCTGAGTGGAGAAAAAAATGCCTTAAACTAAAAACAATTGCTCGTTTCACCTTGTCCAATCGTCGCTGGAAGAAAGCGGCGAAAAAGCACTCATCTGATTATGAATACGCGAAATACCAATTTCCGGACTTTGCGAATTACTTTTCCTACCGTCACTCTTATTACCCTCATTACCGATAATCGAATCTATTGAAAATCCAGTCCTGGCTTTTTTGTTAATATGTATTTCCGTCGGCAAGTAATCTTCCGTATCCGAAATTGGAGCCGGTTGCATCGGCACTGGTTTGCATATATTCGGTTGCGGCAACAATCCCAAAGGTGGCAAACCTAATCTGGATAAATCCATAGGGTTGAGTAAAGGTAATCCGCTTGGCATACCTGGAATGTACGAGTAAGGGTTGTGCAAACTGGGATGTGAAAACAATCCGTTGTGGTAGTTTTCTTGGCTTTGTAAAAACTGAGCTACCATAGCTGAAGCGTGATGGTCACGAAGCATTAAGTTTGCTGAAGGTCTTTTGTAACGCTTTCTTCTTCTTAGGAAGCTGCCGTTATCGAACATGTCTTCGGCTAGAGGGTCTAGGGTCCAATAATTTCCTTTTCCAGGATTTCCAGGTTCTCTAGGTATTTTAATGAAGCAATCGTTTAGGGATAGATTATGCCTGATTGAATTTTGCCAGGCAGGGAATTTATCACGGTAATAAGCGAAGCGGGTCATGATAAATTCACAAATTCCGCTTAGGGTTAGTTTTTTGTGGGGCGATTGTAATATTGCCATAGTTATTAAGGCAATATATGAGTATGGTGGTTTAATTAATTGATGACCTGATTTTTTTTGAGATTTGTCCATAGGGTAATCCTCCGATTTAATTGTTGGCGAGTTGGAGCCTCGTAAATCGAGCGGACTGTCCGGCATTGGGTATCTTTGGTCCATCATCAAATCGGCTTCTTTTATGTCTTCCGTCGCCAAATGACGACATTCTTCTTCCATTGCTAACATAGATTCACTTAATTCAAACAAACAACAGTTTTTGTGTGAGTCACGCGCGCGTAGGTATATGTACACTAACACCACTAATCAGTTTATCATGTATAAAAATGAAGGATCTTAAAACTGGTACAGTCTTTTTAATAAAAGTCTTATCTCTTTAAATCACGGCGGTAAGATAAGGTAATATCGCGACTGGGTATTTGAGTAACACACACCTACTACTACTGGATTAAGTTAAAAAAGTTGGTGGTGGTATGGTGTATCAACCAACCAGTCCGTAGCCTGGATCAGTAGCGACTGCTTTCTGGAAATGTTATACCAATATTATCATGACAAGAACAATGATGGTTCAAGCCACCACATTTCCGGCAACGTAGTGCGAAAACAAAGCGGTCGACTAGGGTGGGGGGCTGTTTTTAGGACTCCGCCCCAGCTACGCCCATTTCACCCCTGAAGGTATCACGGTTTACGTAGGGATTTTCACGTTCCTGAAGTTAGGGTTGTTATTCGGGATGAATGTCGATTGATTTTTTTTTTTTTGCTAAGTATTTCGCTTCTTCTCCCTCCGACCCCAAACTCGACAAATAAAATAATTTCGTATTCTCTGTCGGGGCACAGATGCGGCTTCAGTGTTGCCAGAGATGGTACAATTGTACCAGATTTGGTACCATTCGCTTTGAAAAAGTACGCTGGTACGACGCTGGCATATTTGGTACAAATTTGAACTTTTCATTTCTTCAAAATTCCCAAATAAAGTCTCGGTCTACTGTATACTAGTTCAATGTCGATGTTGTTTAATACAAGTGGAGTTCGGTTAATCCTCAGCGAGCAAAAAGATGACAGGACCACGTGATCAGTTCTGGTTTTGAAACTTCAAATCTAAGATCACATCTGCTTCTGCGGTGTCATTTTTCAGCTCGCCGAGGTTTAACGATTTAACCGAACTCGCCTGACGCCTATGGTTTTGAATTTCTGGATGTAAATTCGATATAACAATAATTTCTGATTCGTAAATAGATGGCGCCACCAATGTAAAACTCGTTTTGTGATTCTTGGTTAGACAGTTGACGTAGTTTGTGTTCAGTTTGAGTTTTCACCAGTTTTCACTTATCATCAAATCAAAACAAAACGTACTTTTATGCGACCCTGATCAAAAATTAACCAAACATTTTCAGGAAACGCATGCGCATTTATGAGCTGGTACATTTCTATTAAATCTGGTACAATTTGTCTTTGATATTGGTACACAAAATTTTTGCTTTCTGGCAACACTGTGCGGCTTGTGTTGCTCGAATTTGGTGCCTGGTTGGGCATACAGCTTTAAATTTAAATAACTCAAGTTTTTTTTTTAATGGAATATATTTTCAACTGATGGGCAAATATAATTGGAAAGTAGATTAAGTGGGTTTTGAAATCCAAAAGTGGAAAATCTATGAATTAAACTGTATGTACCTATAGGTAGATATCTTGAAAAATTTACGTCTCCAGTGAGCAAAGTTTTTCCCAAATAAGCTTTCAATGAATTCAACCGTTTGATATTCTTTATTGAATATATGAAAATTTGTCCCAAGTCGGTACTATCCCTATTGTAGTAGGTATCTACAATAGGGATAGTACCTACTAGGTAGGTACCCATCATCCAATAAAATTGTAATTTGTTTTTGAGTGATGGAGGTATGTGCGTCTAGTCAATCGATTAAAAATTATTGGTTTCTAAAAGTTGTTTTTTTTTTTTTCCAAAGGACCCCGCACACCTCTTATGGGTTTTTGGTTTTCTACTTCAATGTCCAAGAAATGTACACATTTTATATGTATTCACATCTACCTGTCAACTAATATTAGGTCTGTTCCTGCAAAAATCACAAACCCGTCAGAGCGAATTTGATTGGTCGAAAACAGTCAGAAACAGTCAGAAAACTAGTTTCAACCAATGAAATTCACTCTGACAGACCTATTAATAGGTGACAGGTAGATGTGAATGCATATAAAATGTGTACATTTCTTGGACATTAAACCACCTGTATTTCGGAAACTATTCATAGGATCGGGTTGGGCCCATGAGAACTTTTTATCAGTAAATCAAGATATACCACATATCAAAATTTCATTGAGTTTGACAGAAAACCAAAAACCCATAAGAGCTGTGCGGGGTCCTTTATTTGTTCACTAGAAAGACATTAGGCTTGTTGTTCTTTCAACGAGCTGTTCTGCAGATTCTGGTATTGATTCTTGAAGCCCGAAAGGCCGGATGAGTTATATGCGAGCCCGAAGGGCCGGAGTAATACAAGCGCGAAGGGCCGGAGTTATATGCGAGCCCGAAGGGCCGGAGTAATACAAGCGCGAAGGGCTAGAGTTATACGCGAGCCCGAAGGGCCGGAGTTATATAAAAGCCCGAAGGGCTAGAGTTATTTTAATCACGGGGCTCAGTCTATAATTCTATTGGTCAGCTGATAATTCAGAGCCAATCATAAACCGGGAGTATTTAAAATGCGATTTTTAGCGCCCAATCAAAGAGCCGGGAATATTCAAAAACTTTAGTTTTATCAAATTGATTTTGGAATGCTGTTTTTCTTAAGATTTTTACTTTTTTCAGAAAACGGTGGTTTTTGCAAACATATACTACTTTATCGTTGTCTTTGTCATACTCACTATAATCAACAAGTAAATCTTGTAATGTCATTTTCATTGAAATTAAATTAAAAATAAGTTTCCGATGTTTTATTTGGGGAATTTTAATTATTATAATCATTATTAATTAATTAATTAATAAATTGAATTTTAAACAAAAAATCCTTTTTAAATGTTATTTTTGTTTTCCAAAATGAGATGTGGCAACGTTGCTTTTAGTGCTGAAGTGACGCCTTGTGATTTTTTGCCAGCTTTTCCTCGAATTTTCCACTTGTCCGGGGCTTTTCAATGGAAAAAGGCAATTTAACATACGAGGCTTTGAGTTTTCTCAATTTTCAAAGCAAAATGTCCGGTTTTAAAATGACATAAATAACAAAATCCCATTTAAAATGTTTTTTTTTGAAGTTTTGATGTGGCAACACCGTTTGTGCCAACTTCAAGTAGGTTTTGTATTGAATGTCATTTGCCAGTTTTGACAGTCGGCAATTTTTAATTGACGTATTTACATTTCTATCCAGTTTTTCCTCGAATTTTCCGCTTTTCCAGGCCGTTTTCAGTCAAGAAAACCGATTCGAATATACGAGGCTTTGAATTTCCTACATTTTGTGCTAAAAATTCCCAGTTTTCCAATGGGGTAACTGACAAAAACTCAAATTTCATTAAGTAGGCTTAGGAATGTCATTTTTAGAAGTTTTTATTTGGATTTGTCCGCTTTTCCAGGGCTTTTCTGGTCAGAAAAACCGATTTAAAGTTCGAGGCTTTGAGTTTAATTCATTTTTTAGTAAAAATTTCTAGTTTTAAATGCCATAATTAGCAAAATCCCATTTAAAATGCTTTTGATGTGGCAACATCGCTTGTGGCTGTCGGCCATTTTCAATTGACGTGTTTACATTTTTATTTAGTTTTTCTTCGAATTTCCACTTTTCCGAGGCTTTTTCAGTCGGGAAAACTGATTTAAAGTACGAGACTTTGAGTTTTCTTCATTTTCCACCAAAAGTTTCCAGTGTTTTAACGGGGTAAGTAAGAAAAACTTTAGTTTTATCAAGTAGGTTTTGGAATATCATTTTCGTTGGTTTTTTTTTTGGAATTTTTATTTAAAGTTTTTGAGGTCCGGGGAACGTTTTTTACCATTTTTTTTTTCTCGAAATTCGCAAAATATGACGTTGACAGCTGTCAATTTTTTTTGACACAAATCGATAGTTGGCGTCGCGAAACTGCCTTGTACCGGGGTTTGATTTTCGCAGCTTTTATAGTAGAGCGGGAAAAAAGTCGAACATGTGTCAAATTTGACAGGTGACATTTGTCGATATTGCCAAAGTGTCATGCGACAAAAGTTTTATCCGAACGAACCTGTTCATTGTTAACTGATTTTTAATACTCCGGCCCTTCGGGCTGTAATCTTCGAAACAAAAAGACGTCATTTTGTATCGATTGTCAAAAAAACCCAAGGTTTGAAATTTCAATTTTTCCCCGATTTTTGATTGCCTCCAAATTAACCACCCAAATTATCCACTGATCAATAGAATTATAGACTGGGCCCCGTAATTAAAATAATTTTAGCCCTTCGGGGTCGCGCATAACTAACTCCGGCCCTTCGGGCTCGCGTATAACTCTAGCCCTTCGCGCTCGTATTACTCCGGCCCTTCGGGCTCGGATATAACTCCGGCCCTTCGGGGTCGCATATAACTCCGGCCCTTCGGGCTCGCATATAACTCCGGCCCTTCGGGCTCGCATATAACTCCGGCCCTTCGGGCTCGCATATAACTCCGGCCCTTCGGGCTCGCATATAACTCCGGCCCTTCGGGCTCGCATATAACTCCGGCCCTTCGGGCTCGCATATAACTCCGGCCCTTCGGGCTCGCATATAACTCCGGCCCTTCGGGCTCGCATATAACTCCGGCCCTTCGGGCTCGCATATATATTAATTGAAATAATATGTTGTCAGATTTTTATAAATTACATTGAAATATCGAAAATTGGAATTCTGTTGTGTAATTTGTGAATTATTATTTTAATTACAATTAGGAATGAGGAATAAAAAACTGAGATTGAATTTTCAATTTTTTGGGGGAGGCTTAGCCTTCCCTGCCTCCTCTGACGAGCCGCCACTGTGAAAATTTGTATACAAGTTGGTCAAAATCCCAGAAAAACTCGTAAGATCTACTCAAAATCACTGAAAATCTTTAAAATCTTTTAGCCTCTTCACTTGAAATAGTCACGAGCCGCCACTGAATTTGAGGGATCCCAAAGGACCATTAAAACACAAAATCTTAACAAAAAAAAAATTGAAATTTCATCGTTTGAGTACCTATTGAGTTATTTACCTTATGATTCAGATTTTGGAAAATTTTTAAAGGTCATAACTTTTTTCTATTACATATAGATGGAAACCTGAGATTTTCAACGTTTCTTATCCCAATAAGAGGACTACAATACCTAGAAGTTTCAGCTCATTTGGACTTATAGTTCCAGAAATAAAATCGTGTTAAATAATTTGGGGTGATTTGGACTGTTCTCAAAATAAATCATCTTCACGTGATGATATTTATAACTTTCTTTTCAGAGGTTCAAATACGATGTGCAAATTGCTGGCCAAAAATTTCCAATAAATGCCAATAAATGCTAAAAAATTCCAATAAATATCAAAAAATTCCAATAAATTCCAAAAAATTCCAATAAATGCCAATAAATGCCAATAAACTTCAATAAATGCCGAAAAATTCCAATAAATACCAAAAAATTCCGATAAACTCGTTCTAGATCGGTAATTTTCAGTCGATCAATTCATTTGTCAAAGGATAAACGTTTAACTTATTGAAAAAATGTTGGGCAACTGGAAATTGCCAAGCACGCCACAGTTCTTTTGCAGTTTTCACATTTTCATCAAATTTTTTAAATTACCTTAGAGTGACCTAAAAAGCTCAAAATATTAGAAATTCAAATCAGAATGATTTTATGAGGATTCAATTGAGAATTTAAAACTCATATCGGTGTTG